TGGACAGCATCTATTGCTTCTTACTACGTATGTCCTTGCTTTCTGCATGAATCTGCCATTCTGTTTATTCCCCAAAACTCTCCAACCTCAGAAACCTTACAAAAGTTTAGAGGTTTATCGAGCCGACATTTTGAAAACCTGAAAAGGCTATGTTTTCAGATGTCACCTAGGAGGTGTCAGATCTAAGTTGGGGTGTGGAGTGTGTCTATTTATAGAACACCATAATTAGGCAGAATCCATGGCCCATCCAGAAATAAAACGAGTGTGCCGTTAATGTCCTGCCAGTCCTGCAGTAATCAAACTCAAGGTGTCATAACAAAGACATTTTAATAATATGAAAAATGTCACTCTTACCAAATAGCTCATGAAATGTAATGATTTCCCAGCTTTTCCTATATGTGTGTGTGTGTGTGTGTGTGTGTGTGCGCGCGTGTGTGTGTGTGTGTGTGTGTGTGTGTGTGTGTGTGTGTGTGTGTTGCAACTCTCTGTTTCAAGAACAGGAAACCTTTGGGATGGGTTCTTTGGATAGCCTCAAAGATCACATCTTGTGATGTCATTAGACATCATTGTGAAGACTGTTCACCATCTAAGATGCCAGCCAGGGTTCATTTTATGATTCTTTAGAGTAAGCTATTTGGGGAAAGGCCAAAAAGAGGGTCTAGAAAATAGAATTTTGTTGTTTTCAGCTATAATTAAAATAGCCAGATTAAAGATATTAGGCTCTTACAAACCCCAAATGAAAGTATTTTATGGAATAAGTTAACAAAAGTAAAAATCGGGGCCAGTTCGCTTTCGGACCTCACCCTTTATAAATACGTTGCCCAAGAATAGGAAAGTCTCCCACCCACTTGGAGATCTTTGCTCAACAAAAAACTGAGTTGACATTTGAGGAAGGAACAACTAAAAATGAGAAGGAAAAGAAAAGGTCAGTGATTTTCGGGGTTCACTATAGTTCTGTGGAATTTAGTTTCATCTTCAAAATGTGTTCTCTTCTTAGTCACATGTAATGTGCAGAGCCCAGCTTTCCGGTCTGTCTGCACTGTCAATTCCTTCCGTGGAGAAGTTAGACATTTTGAAATTCACCAAATGGACCCAGGCTAAGGTGTGTGACAGTCATTCTACACTTCGTGATGATGATCCCCTTAATGCTTAGTCTGCTGTGGAGCTTTTAAAAATAGCTCAGTCAGCAGGCCCGAGCTACTGTGGAAGTGTGTGTGTCAGTGCTTGAGCCCATGTAGGGAAGCTTGTCTCTTTGAAGGTTGACTTCAAATGACCGGGTGGGCCCCCTCAAGTCCCATTTAAGCTGTTCAGAATCAATGTGCTGTCAGTACCAGCTTTGATTTCAACAGGATAACAAACCCATGCTCAGGTAGGAACCTATCAGCTGCTTCTCTTTGCCTCGTATAATGTCACACACTTACTACCCTGTGGGTCCATCTTTTTGGTCTTTAGGTTGTGAACTGAATTTCTTATATCATCATAAACCCATTGAAAAATGTGCTGATCCCCTGATATTAAATACTCTATGTAAGTTTCCAGCTGGGCCTACAAAGATGCCATGCTCAGCTTGCAGG